CATGCAAACAGCCCGGCTGTGAGGAAAAGGTCGCGCAAAGAATACGTGGATGGAGAGTAAACATCCCTGAACCTCCACAAGTCAGTAAAGGGATTGCTGGAGCAATGCAAATCCAAGCTGAACTTAGGATGAAGGAGCGCAAGGTCCTGAGTGTGCGGAAGGAGGTAACTAAAGAAGACGCGCTCTTTAGGCTGCTGCGATCGGTAGGACCCAAGCGAGCTGGAGCACGAAAGAGGCCAGAAAGATACAAGTGCCTCCCGTGTAAAAAAACGTACGTAACCTCCCTAGGCTCCATGCGAGCGCATGCATCCGCCCATCGCAGAGGAGAAATCGTGAAAATATCGAGAATTAAAAGAAGATTCAACCAGCAGCAACAGCTTGGAGCGGTAAGGAACGAATACAGACCTGAACAGCACCGATTCGATAGTAGAACGGGCCGCTATTCAGCTGGTCCAGGCGCAGTACTCTGCGAAATTGCAATTCCTGAAGAGCTCTGGAGCGATGCAAAAAGGGAGAGTGTGAAGTGTCAAAAGTGTCAAAAATGGCAGATCGAGCTATGTCAAAAAAGAATGACCCTCAGACAACAAGCAAAGCGAGCCGACTACCATAGATCTCATCTTCGGAAATGCAAAGGGCGGAAATAGTGACGGCATCAAACAAGGAAAAGGAAAAGGGAAAAAAGGTGGAGAAGACGGAGGAAAAAGAAAGTCCAATGCAATAAACTAATTAAAGTGTCGTACATACCCCACGATTGGGTACACTACTACTACTACTATCCAAACCAATTCAGGTTAGTACCAAATACCAGAACCATACACACACGCTGAGAGCTACGAATCTGATTCATCTTGCCTATAAAGTATAACTTTGCTTGCCTCTGTCTAAGACCAGCTGGCTATCCAAGCTCCGATGGGGCGAGAGAGGAAAGATGGGTCGGACGCGGACAACCAGCAGCGTTTGTCGGCTAATGCAGCCTTAGAACGTGCCTTCATGCTGTCGTATGTACATCTGAAAATCAACGTTAAGGCTCGAAAAAGAAGCCCTGCTCAAAAAAAAGCACTGCTCCTACACTACGTCGGAAACTGTGCTTTGACGCAGTCGTAGCTCTAACAAGGGTATCCTGGCTGAGGAAGCGCAAGCAGAAACAAAAAAATATCTGGCGTCGGTGAGTTTGGACGGAGCGGTACTCTTCTTCGACGATGGCGTCACGGGGGAAGAGCTGAGAGTTATGTTCTTGGGAGATATCGAAAATTGTTGCTTGAAGAGTTTAACGCTTCATTACTTCCAGCATCAGTTCCGAACCGTTTCGCAGATGTATTAAGCTGAAAATCTTGCGTAAGGTATAGGTAACATCAGAAGATGATCATCATGGTGCAGAGAAAAAGAAAACTCTCAGTAAACTGACCTTGGTGCTGTTGTTGGAAATTGGAATCAACTACATCGATCTGTAAGACAACTGGCCAGAATGCTTTGTTGAGCGCGAAGCTAAGGCACCCAGTAGTTCTGTCCTCCCCAGTTGGCAATATTATAGTATGTACTATTATAGTTATAGTATATCTGCATGTACTATGATAGTATATGCAATATCCTATTTCCTCTAATCTACCAGATGAGATGAAGTTCACCGAAACGGCTGGAAAATTGGCCACTTACATGGACATTTTTACTCCTAGTGGTCACGGAGCAGCCTCCAGTAGAAACAACAAGGATAAGGCGGCTGCCGCTCGCCGCCTCACGTTTGCTAGACCTATCTTTAAGGCTATACTACATAGCTCGCGCAGTCTCCGAGTTTGACGAGTGTAGGACCTACCACGGAATAAGGGGAAAGCCGACCTCTATTCATGATAATTTAGCTGCTGGGCAACATGTCTTTTAGATTCAGAGGGGAGAAGATAGGTCCTCTAATATCAGCCTAGTCGGTTATACCAGAAAGCTGGGAGGCGAGGGGACCTTGTTATGAACAAACGGACACGCTTGTGGAGGAGGTCAAAATTTAGGGAAAATTAGGGGATATTATGGCTCCCTAATTTTCCCTATGTGGGAGGTCGAGGCTTAAGCGTGTCCGTTTGTTTCTAACCTTGGCGAAGTATATGTCGAGTACCATGTCCCGCGATTTACCACGCACCACGGTGTACACGATTCCTTTATGGATGGTTCTGACAATACCTTTCTTTCCAAAAGCGAACATAGAAGAGGGTTTTTTTAACCGAAAAGCGCACATAAAGCACAGGGATCAGCTGGGGAATATTCGGCTCAAAATGAAAAATTTTCACTTTGCGACAAAAAAGCGCTTTTTTTCCGTTTTTTGTACCTTATTCGTATTGTTATTATTCGTCCACACACTACCCGAACAAGCCCTCTCTAATGTCCCAAGCTGCGCGCGTTGGTCTACGCCTTACAGCCTTCGCGCAGGGAGAAGGGACGGCAGGGAAAGCCGCGTCCAAAGGAGAGGAGGTAGACTCTCTCGACTCAATTGAAGCCACTATCAAGAAGGAAGCTGGAGGAGGGGCTGCCGACTTATGATTACATGCAGAATATCCTTCCAAGTTTCAGAAAAATGTGAAATAGGTTTCTTCACACTTCCCACTCTCGTAGAAGAAAGTGAAGGCCAGACTGAGATGAACAAGCTGAAGGATTTTTATTTAACCACTTTGTTTTTCAATTACAAAAAAGCCTCCGCCGGCCTCTCTTCATATACCGATACGCCATTGACATCGTTATTGACAGAGCAGCTATGTCCTGGTACTCTGGCTGGATCTGTTGCTGCGACTGTGAGTCCTCGAGAGCGACCTAAAATGCAAGATGTCACGAACTGGACAGGTGGCAACAAGGGCATCCAAGTGGGAGCAATGATCCTTAAGACCACAATTTAGTCAAAGCTACAGCATTCTCGTTACCAGTGTTGCCTCGGCTGAAGCAACCTGTTAGCCATTTGATGGGATAGAACATGAGGTCACATGACATGACATGACTAACAATGTGGTCTATCATAGAAGTAGTATTTACGACTGACTTCATCTATCACCATGTGTAACTGTTGGCGTACTAAAAACTATCGTGCAGAAGTCTTCTATTCATATTCTACCACTGTCTCTGTCATCTAGTATCACTGCACTGACTGTGACTCTTAGTCCTACTTCTAGTAGGTATCGCACAAGAACTCTCACCACAACTGACAGCTTACTACTAGTATAATCGTACTATTCTACTAACATTCATTCTTGGTAGTGTTGTCTGTCGCTTCCACTGAGTAGTATCTTCGTACTATTCTACTTCTAACATTCTTGGTAGTGTTGTCGAGGCGACGGTGTCAAAGGTCATCTATACCTGTGCCATGGCTAAGATGGCTTTGGGTATCGCTACGGTTCTGGCTTTCTTAAGGCTCCTCCTAATCCATCTGCAGAAGCATCTTGAGTCCGTCCCATAAGGAGAAACTGAAAAGTCTGCATTTCTTGCTAAAAGACACTCGCCGAATACAGAGTGTCTCAGTATCGAAATGCATTTCGAGATGATGGAAAAGCACCAGGGTGACGAGCTCTAACTTTCACAGGCATTGCCATGAATCCGCTTATTGGTGTACCTGTCGCGATTATCTCTTTAGTCGTATCGAACACGCTCAATACCTGGATCAAGAACGCAAAAGCGAGAATCGTAAATGTTAAGGCTTAAGTAACCTTACTCATGCCGCATAATGTAAACTAAAAAAGGGCCATATTATTGCTCCCCAGTAGTTGTGTAGGATAGTCGTAGGGCCAATCCGAATCGACTAGCGTCATCAGCTGCGTACTAAACTTACACCGTCCTTGAGCAGTATAGTTTGGGCATCCTTGAGCAGTATTTGAGCAACATCCTTGAAGACTCTTCTGGCCTCAAGTAAAGACTGGGTCTCCGCACAATTACCATCTTCGGAGTCGGATTATCATCTTGGTTAATATGATACTCTTGGAGTCCTCGCTGAGTCTTGGCCTCAAGGATTTCGAACATCTGATGTGCATGTAGTTCTGGTGAGGAAAAATTGTAAGGATATAATTTTTAGATATGTTACTTTTGATACATGCCCAGAAAGCGAGCCCAGTTTAGTTACCAACGAGACAGGTAAGACGGTCGGACAAAGTCGCAAAATCCGCTCGCCAGGGCTAGAAAGAAAGCCGGACAAGCTGGCTGCCACTGTTGCTCGGCCAGTAGGCTAGCCACGGCTGTGGCTAAGCTCGCGCGCTGGCTGTGGCTAAACTGGCAAAGCACTGCGGCCCTGGCTAAGCTAGCAAAATGGCGATTGCAAAGCTAGCAAGCTGGCGACGCTGGTGGCTAAGCTAGCGGGCTGGCTATGGCTAAGCTGGCAAGCTGGCCACGATTAAGCTAGCAAGCTGGCTATGCCTAAGCTAGCCGCCTGGGTTTGGCTATGGTTAAGCAAGCAAACCAGCCAGGGCGAAGCCAGCGGGGGACGCTGACTATCGCATCGTGGTGGCGAAGGTAGCGAGGCAAGCTGCCCATGGCTAAGCTATGCACAGCAAAGCAGGGCAAGCTGGTTATGCCTGGCTAAGGTAATCTAGCAAGGCAGGAGGGCTGTGGCGAAGCTAGCAAAGCATAAGCTGAGCTAGTCAGTCTAGCTGGCTAGGCTATGGCTAAGCCAGCAGGCTGGCTATGGCTGACCCCGATGTGCCAGGATCTTGAAGTCCTTCATTATAATTAAAGGACTCGGCTTGATGAGAGGTCGGGCGGCCCTTAAGGGAGTAGCTATTATTAGTCGAAGTTTATTGCATGGCCTCCTTAAGGGTCCTCCTTAAGGCACATCTTTGGCCTTTAAGGAAGATTTATCGCGACTTTTTAGGATTGAAATTCCTTAACGGATGCCATTTCTTTAAGGATAGGAAGCCCCTTATGGGAGGTTCTTAAGAATTTTAGGAAAATCGCTTACGCTATAAATAGATGCTAATAGTGCTAGTTTGTCATCATCTGTCTGAGGAAGGGGAGCGTAACTCCGTAACGTGCTTAATTGTCCCATGATCTGCTCTAAAGTCGCCTGGTTCGCGGATGACGTATTTGGCCTGCATATTCGGGATCCGCTGCTGCCGCCTCCAGCCTTGCAAAACCTGAATTTTCCATATCAGGAACCACTCTCACCTTATGATGACCTAGAATCCATATCATTATCCACGTTATTCCTGCTCTTAAAATTGTAAATGTAACTAACATGTAAATTCTGACTAATATAGTTCTAAGCAGGAGCCAATCTAGTAACCCACGCGGAAGCTGCATTGTATTCGCATCCTGGCGCAGACGGGCTATTTGAAGTTGAGCACGTAGACGTTTTCTTTGCCTTTGCTCTGTGGCAGGACGTCGGGTATTTAAGCCAGCTCTTTCGAGAATCCATAGTGCCAGCCAATTACTTCCTCGATGCTGGCATCACCGATGAGGATATTAAGGCACCACCAGGAGCTCTCGTGGCAAGAAATACTGGAAGTAGAGACCCATCTTCACTAGAGGCCCATCTTCACTAGAGACCCATCTTCACTAGAGACCGATCTTCTACGTCTTCCCCATCAGCAAGAACATTATAAGTATAGTATATGCAGGTATATCTATATGGTAATGGTTGCTTGTTGTTGCTCTTCTTCACCAGGATCTTGTTGGCCCTCGTCCCACCGGGTTCCGTATTTAGTACTACAAAGCTGTTTTCTTCTTGTTCTTCCCCAGGAGCATCTTGGTCTGTCCCGTGGTCTTTCCAATATACAGGGACCTTACTTGGCGTTGGTCCCGTATCGAGAATTAGAGGAAACAACAACAGGCTGGACCAAGGTTGTTAGTGGATGGAATATATACTCGAGATCGATGAAGATTAAGTAAGTACTGTATGCGCTAGCTCTACTTCTAAAACTAGGCTTGCAAAGCTAGGCCTCCTTGAGGAGGATAAAAATACGCCTTACGAAAATAATGAAGCTCGTTACAACCCGAAAAATGAAGAGAATGAAGATCGTGATCTCCTACCCCATGAGAAGCTCGAGCTGCAGCCCTGCACATTGGAAACCTCTGGGAGAACGCTGCCTTTTATGGAAGGAAGACGAAAGATAAATCAAACTTTGTCAAGTGTCGTCTCTCACCTCCACTGAGAAGTTACTAGTATCGTACTATTCTACTAACATTCATTCTTGGTTGTGTAATCTTAAGCTTTGCAGACCGAGGCCTACATGGCTCCGGCTCTCTTGAATGGTTCCGATATTTGGTAACCTGAGTTGGGTCATAGGGAAAACAAGAAGGGAATCCTTGTGATCAAGTTCAAGCTACCAAATACCAGAGCCATCCATCTCTCCCCTTTTGGAAGCATTCACTGTTGTTCTTGAGGAAAGCCTCCTATTACGGCAATCCTCAAAATTCCAGTGAATAGACCTGCTCTAGATGGCAGTTGCTTAGGAGGCTGTCTTTCGAGTAGACCTCTCTAGAGGATGGCTTTGGGTGTCAGAAAGATGATGCAGAGCTTTAGATAGACCTCCTATAGAAGGCTGTCTTTTGAATAGATCTCTTCTACCTCCTCTAGAAGTCAGTCTAATTTTCCTTGTTTTCGGGTTCTTATCGTTCAGATGGATATACCAGGAACGTCTTTACGCGCTGGGGACGTGATAACACATTTTGGCTCGAGACATCCAACAGAAGACGATATACTACCGCCAGCACCAGAGAAGCCAAAACGCACTAGAGCTTAAGAGCATGCAATTGTATCAGATTCGTCTAACATCTTGCTTTTTTAGATGATCATGGAAGAGAAGCCGAAGTGTACTAGACGTAGACCTTAAGAGTTTTATTGTTTGTTGTAGTACATCTCCTTCTACTACAACTGCTAAACCTTAGGAACAATCCAATTGTTTGTAGTACTGACGCTAAGAAGTACTAGAATTCAATCAGTCACTAGCACTACTACAAGGAGGACAAACAAATCAACTGTTTGTAGTACTAGAGGAGCCTAATAACTCAATCAGTCACTAGTACTGTAGTACCACGAACAAACCAATTGTTTGTAGTAGTAGTCCACACGACCACCTACTACTTATTATATGAAGCATTATCAATATCATATCAATATCATTTTTATTATACTTCTCTAGTTAAGAAACTTCATAATGATGACAGATTTTCGCCTCATATTATATCCATATCTAGTTGTACAGGTTAAAGTTCTTAAAGATATGACTGATTTCGTGCACTAGCCTGGTGCTTGACCAATCGTTGTGCAGGGGATGATAACCAATAACTTCTGCGCAATATTGATGTCTGCTCTTGGGCAGTGGTCTTATAGGAACTGCGACAGGGACACAAACATGACATATCCTCTTCCTCCAGTAGAAGGCAGTTTCGTTTTTTCTACTTAGTAAACATATGATTCTACTCTATAAGCTTAACTTATTTTTCCACTTAGTAAGCATATTCTTCTACTTAGTAAACATATAACGTCGCGAGCCCTCTTCCTCTAATAGAAGACAGTGGCAGGCGTCAAGAAAAAAGGAGAGGACCTCGATTCAGATTCTGACGATGCGGTGAAGGAGGCGAACAAGCATCTCGAAGAAACTCCGCAAGCTGCTGAAGATATGGATGATGTATTGGTTAATGTTTTTTCTTTTCCATCCCTACTAGTACTCGAGAACTGAAGCAAACCGAGTTACTGACTCCTGAAATAAAAGAGTCTTGACTACATTCCTCTGCGTTTTTCAGTGCCTCGCTTATTTTATGTAGTTACTCGCTTATTTCAGTTTTTCGAATAGCTACCACGAGGGCCATCCGCGTCCCCCTGGCGTGACTGATGAGCCTCAAGGAAGAGATAAAAACAAGTGCCAGGAAGGTGAGTTGTAGAATCCTTTGCCTTCGCACTCTACCAAAACCCTCTTGTTTCACTTTCTATATTGATGTCTACTTGAAATAAATGGTTTTGTTTTTTCTAGTTAGGTCCGCTCACCGCCACGAATTAATAAATATTGTCTGCTTGAAAGTCATGAAAGTGAAAGAGTTTTTTGATGTGGTACGTACAACCTAGTAGGTTGTAGATGGAAAAGTAAAACCAAGTATACCATTCTTTCATAGAGGAGGTGTACGTTCAACTAGATCCGGCAGTGCTATTACCGTCAGACGACACGCTAGACGGGGGAATGGGCGAAGAAGATCTGTCTTTTAAGGCTTACACTTAGGCTTCACTCGAAAGCTTGAAATAACCGAGCTACGGACTAGAACAAGGGAGGTAGCTTCATCATGCCAAGCCTACTCTTTCTTCAGTATCTCGGTTATTCTCTTTCTCGTCTGTCACTTGCTTATAATTTCAGTTTTTCGAATACTTACGCTCACCGATTCCAATACTGCCATAGGCTTGTATACGCGTGCGAAAAGTGAAAAAGAAAAATATACGAGTATCTCATAACTGAAATATAAGGGTTACGACGTTGAGGTTGATCTTCTTTTGGCATCTCGGTTATTGCAAGTTGCACTTACTACTTGCTTACATCAAGTAGTTTGTTACTACTTGCTTATTTCAGTTGATGTTCGAATAAGTTGATAGCACTTGATGTCATATACATATTAGTATTGAGTGTTCGTAGAATTAGAAGCAATAGCATCTTCTTACTTCTTGAGTAGTTATTTTGGAGACAGCATCCACATCGATGCGTAACTGTACTAGGACTACTCGAAAGTAGGATCCCTGAAAGAGGACTTACTGAATACAATAGGTCTCAGTCAAAGTCTGTCATCTTCACCTAAGTTCTAGCATATGATGTAGGTAGCCTGATGCAAGTGGCCTCCTCGAGGCGGACTCGTTCTGTACAGTACCTCCTGTTACCCTATTCCAAGCCCCTAGCCTACTCGAGGAGGACTCGTTTTGTATATTCCAATCCACTCTAATTTTCTGTTCAACGGCGCCAATGGCGGACCTGCTTTCCCACTCTGGAGCATCGACATGGAAAAAATGAAGGTTGCTTTGGTCGATGAGAAAGATTTTTACGGCTACCTTGGTTATCACATGCTCCACTCATTGCACTAGCAAGAATGGCAGGCTTCACTCTCTCAAACTATAGTACATATGATCGCTGGTTCCTATGAGACACGTCCAGCTCCAGCAGATCACTTTGGAGGCTGAAGCCCTATCGTTCCTTTTCCTCCTCCTCCTCCTCTCTTCCTCGCTCCACTCTATCGCTCTAAGAAAAGAAGGCGGGTCTCCTTTTTCCCCCTTCTTGTTCTTCCTCCTCTTCTTCTTCCTCCTTCTCCTCATGTCACTCTAAGAAAAGCAAGAACCACTTCAACAAGGTTCTTCTTTTGCAGAACAAATAAAAGGTCCTCAAGGCAATGGCGCAACAGAAAAGGAAGCTGCTGATGGCGAAGATGCTAATGGCGCAATCGAACAAGGGGCAGTCGGGCCTCAATCTCCTTCACAGTCTCAGTCGACACAGGAAGTTGAGTCGTTCTCAAAGACTTACGCAGTTGCTTGGCATCCGAGTGTGTTGACAGTCCGGTCGCGCTCCCTCAAGAAATGGGTCCGATTAAGGCGTCATCATTATCCCTTTGAAAAAGCATCCCATAAACCTCTTCATGAACATCCTCAGCATGTTCTTGAAGAAGCATCCTCAACATTTTCAAGAGGGAAATGGATACAGGGATGGTCGTTTCAGGGGTGCACGTCGGTAGCTCTAATCCGGCCTCGCTTAACCCACAGGACGAAACGCGTCTGGGCCGACATGTCTCTTACGCAGCTGGATGAGTGAATGAGTAAAGTGGGCTTGCTTTTGTTTTTGTTGATGATCAAGCATCAAGGTGTCTGTTTAAATTGATGTGGCCAAGTGGTAAGTGCATCACCACAATTATACAATATAGAATAATGACTTCGTATTTCCCGGCTCTTATCTCTCGCTTACCAGTTATTGAAGGTGTTTCAACTACTTGAAGTACAATTCGGTTTGATTGTCCTGAAGCACGACCCGTACTACAGGTGGACCAGGACCAGGAGACAACTACGTCTCTTTTACTTTGGTTGTACTAGATTCTTCACTGTACTGTACTTCTGTAGTTGTGAATGGTTCCGGGATTGCGTAACCTGAATTCGATCACGCGGGTTCCCTTCTACTTACTTGCTTGCCCTTGTGAGCAAAATCAGGTTACCGAATAGCAGAACCATGCAAGTTCCTGAATGAGTCACTCTCCATCAGGTTGATTCTTGGTCTTCGCCATCTTCTAAGGAACAGTGGACAGAGGTGGTTGATAAACCATACGACTACAATAGTAAGGACTACATCGAGAAAGCGAAGGTGCCAGTTCAATCAGTGGAGCTCTTACCTGGTACCCCAGCTCGAGTGCGCACAGATATCGACGTCGCAAGGCTGAACTACTTGAACTTAAGGATGGCGATGGTTTTACTTAGCATCCTTGCTTTTGTAGCCGAACTGAACAACTTTAACTGCAGGTCGTGGTTTAGTATCTTTAGTCTAGAAGAACATGAATTCTAGTTGTCACTCCTGTGCAACTCTAGTGGGCCAAATTCAACGTGTAGGATCTCAATTTGTTGTAGCCATCTTGAAGATGCAATGAATTGCTAATGCTAGGTATGCACTTCGCCGGATTCCATCCTCATCCTCACCACCATCATCCTCCTCATCACCATCCTCATCCCCATCACCATCCTCCTCATCATCCTCATCAACATCCCCATCATCATCCTCGCCATCATCACCCTCATCACCATCGTCACCATCATCACCATCATCACCATCATCACCATCATCACCATCATCACCATCATCACCATCATCACCATCATCACCATCAGCACCATCAGCACCATCAGCACCATCACCCCCATCACCCCCATCACCCTCATCATCCTCCTCATCTAATCAATGGCGTTCGGCAAGGTCTAGGCTTCAACGACAAAGAGTTGGAGTCTGAGTACGCTTCCTTGATGGACTCGTTGGACGACAAGCGAACAGCCGATGACGGAGGCCCCGACTTTACTAAGTCCTACTGTTATGAAGAAAATATTAGTACGCAGTGAGCAGTAGTACAACCTAGAAGTAGTACCGTAGTTGTCGTAATTGTAGTAGAATCAATTTATAAGAGCCGTCTAGTAGTTGCAGTTAGAAGTACCACGAACTAAGTGGTCAACATGGTAATAGTAGTACAACCTAGAAGTAAGTAGCAGTACTGCCTTTGTTGTAAGAACGTCACGGGGACGTAGAACGAACCTAGAATAGAAGTAGTACCGTAGTAATACACAGTAGTTGTACAACCTACAAGCAGTATCGTGGACGTAGTTGTAGGAACGTCAAGGGGAAAGAAAATAATAGAAGCGGCCAGAAAGTAATACATAATTTGATACCAAAATCTGTTATTATTATCATACTTTTCTACGTAAGGAACTTGATAATGATAACAGATTTTCGCGTCATGCCTAGAATAGAAGTAGTGCGGTAGTTGTAGAAGTACGCGCGTGGTCATGGTCATACTAATGCCTAGAAGTAGAACAACTGCCGTAGTTGTAAGAACGTCGAAGTGGGGCAACGGATACGGAAACTAACTACTGCGCCTTAATCTGTGAAGAACAGTAGTATCTTGTAATGGGAAAATATTCATATTGATATATTATCCAGGGCTGCACGGCCGCCCCCCCTCCCCCCCCTGTGGTCTGGTCTGTGGTGGCGCGCCCGCGCGCTTTTCCGCGCGGATTTTTCGCGGATTCTAGTGTTGGGAGGCGTCAAAACTTGGCGCCTTCCTCCCCTTGGGCCTCTCAGCGTGTTCCAAAGGGCCACGGTCGCAGGCAAGCCGATGACCAAGGGCCCGGAGGGTTCAAGCGGCACGGCTCAGGGGGTCCAGCCTTTCGCCTTTTGCCGTCTTCGGAGGCCTTCCGCTGCCGGTGCACTGCTGCTACCGGACCCCTCCAGTCTGTGGGGTACATGCAAACGAGAAGGAGGCAGCGAGCCCCTTGGCCTCCCTTGAGGCCTTCCACCTACGTCGGAGGCCTCTGCGGGACAGCCAGGCAGCTGGGAGGAAGCGGAGGCAGCCACTTGGCCTCCTCTTGAGGCCTTCCTCCTTTGGCGAAGGCCTCTACAGGACAGCCAAGCAGCTGGGAGGAAGCGGGGGCAGCCACTTGGGGTTGGGCTCCTCTTGAGGCCTTCCGCCGGTGCACTGCTGCCATCTAGCCCCTTCAAGTTTGTAGGGTACACGCAAACGAGAAGGAGGCAGCGAGCCTCTTGGCCCCCCTTGAGGCCTTCCACCTACGTCGGAGGCCTCGGCGGGACAGCCAAGCAGCGGGGAGGAAGCGGCGGCGGCCTCCCTTGAGGCCCTCCTCAGGCTTTCCACCTACGTCTGAGGCCTCTAGGGGACCCCAGGCTCCTGGAAGGGGACAGGGGGGGGGTGTCGCCCCGCGCCCTGGAACATATATGTATATCACGAACGTTGTAATTGGAAAATATTGATACTGCAGCAACGTCAAGAAGAAAGCGACTATACCTTCTAATTCTATGAATCAAGAAACCAAGGACAAGCTTAGTGAAGGAAGTAAACCTACTTATACCCATATAACTAGTAGAAGGAAGTAAGCCTATGCATAGTAGAATAATGAAGATCGCCCGGAACACCTTACCTCATGCGTAGAAGAGGAGCACAAGCTCAAAAAATATGCACGAACTTGTAAGTTCTATCGGCCTTGGGCGCTATGTCTATTGGACTTGGATGGATCGGATGGAACCCCCTAAGCCTTCTGATCCTACTTGAAATGGTGGGAAGTCCATCCGTTCCATCCCATCCTGGCACCCCCCTATAAATCATTCTAGTATAGAACTAGCACAGTACTAGCACAACAGGCACTACTTCTACTACTAGATGCGCCAACTTCTCAGAAGGGCGTCACTCTCACTGAGCCAATTTATCAGTCTGGTAGGTGTAGCGAGAGCAGAAGATGACTAATACCTCTAGTAGTTCTACCACGCAAGGAGATTAGTCCTCTAGTACTAGTGGAATATTACCCCTAGCGCTACCACGCAAAGCCACAGAGAACGACAATTACCTGTCTATCATGCAAGGAGAACAACATCAATGCCCTCGACCGCTCACCCCCTGATACGTGGGTGAGCCATAAGGCTGGGTAGTCCCTCTGTGGCTGCACACATTCGCTCGAGGATATTACAGGTCAAACTGTGGCTGGACGGCGAATCAAATCTACTTATCCGATCCTCATGTACATATCCTATCCAACACAAGACTCTAATAGTGGCGTCGCGTACGCTTTCCCGTGTCATTGATGGTTGCAGAGGAAAATCTGTGTTGGTTAGCCTATCCGTCGAAAACGAAGAGATACGGGATAAAAGACACAGATCAGTTATGATCAATTTTTGTTGATGAAGTAGATATAGTTATAGTAGAGTAGTTTATAGACGGTGGGAAGGTGGGCACGGTGGGCCACGCTGGGCCGCTGGGCGACCACGCTGGGCACGGTGGGCGATCGCTGGGCGATCGCTCGGCGGACGCTGGGCGAACGGTGGGCGAAAGCTTGACGAACTCTTTGCTTGGTGCACCTGGAGGCTACGCGCAGCATCCACGGCCCTGATACCACTCAGCACAGCGCGGCGCTGTATCCTAAGCGAGCATACTTTTCTGATCTACCAACCCACAACACACCATAGCACCGGCGAAGCTGTATGCGAGAGTGAGTCTTTTAGTATGTTGAGAGGTCACGCATGGCTTGTTTGCAGCCTGTGGCAGCGAGCGAATCGGTCGGCTCAGTCGTCTCATGGCGAGAAAGATGCGCTACTTATTGACTCGCTGTCTTTTAATTTCGTGTCTCTACTCCTCGGCTAGTGAGTAGTGATAGAGTTCTTTCCTTTTCGCGCGGCTGGGAGCGAGGTTCGCGGACGTTGCTTGTGAAGGCTCTGGACAAGTGCATCGCTGAAAGACATAGATCTAAGCCGCTACCAGATGATAGACACTTGGCGCTATTCTACTCACTTTATTTGCCTTGCAACTTGTTGTGGCTCAAGATTCAAATACTGCATGTGCCGGGGGGCTGCAGAAACGGCCGCCCGAAGGGTGCCCCGACTTTTGACCCCTGGCCTCACGGTGGGCGCACGGTGGGCGAAATATCTGGCAGAGGACGCGCATTTGGGTCGCCCAGCGGCCCAGCGTGCCAAGCGTGCCCACCGATCCAATTCTGGGAACTCTATAAACTTCTCTATTATAGTGTTGAGAGACCTTACCTCTGACAGTATAAATTCAGGAACAGAGGCGACGCGCATGTAGTTGATGTCCATCCATGTATGTTGATGTCTCGAATGGTGCTTGTCAATGATTTGGAGTTTCCTTGAAATTTCATGTGAGTCGCTAAAATGATCCTGTTTTCGACGATTTCGAGGGACAATTCAGAACTTCTAATATGCGATGCTGTGGATGACGACGATGATGAGCAGCAGGATGAACAGAAAGAGGATCCAGACCGCAGAAGAATTCGCAAGCGCTTCATCCGCAGAGTGGTTGAGGGTGTGAATGTCCTTTACGGAGCGTCTGATCAAGGCAGCTCAATTGCATTCAAAAGCGAAGTCTTGATCTAGATCTTGAAGCAAATAGAAAAAACAAATTACAAATAGAAGTTCTAGAATAGTATTCGAAGTCTTGAAATAGAATCAAGGATAGCACTCGAAGTGCTAAGCCTAAGCTAGAAGTACTAGTAGCATCCTCTATTTTCTTAGGTCACGTGGTTACTCGGTGTTTGTCACGTCAGTCATTTCATTCTCAGTGCTGTCTCTCTTGCCAAACGTTTGGGAACGAAGGGAGGTGAAAAAATGGAAGCAAGGGTCACTGGTTCGTGCTTTCATTTTTTTAGCTATGAGACATAGTTTAGGACAACTACTTTGAGCTCTAATAGTACAACAAAGGGGAACAAGATTCGTGGAAACGTGTTATCTCCCTCAAAGGGGTGGCAGATGGAGTGAAGGAGTACCTAAAACAGGAAGAGAATTCTAGAGCAGGGGACGCAATGAAACCTAGTGGCGACAAGGCCGACTTCAACGAATGGTGTGCCCCATCTCTTCGCGCAGCAACGGTTACGGCCTTCACTTATAGTATTAGTAATGTTTTCTTCGACTTCTTCAGGCGTTCGGCTACCGCGCTTGTTCCCTGGAGGGACGTGAATACCAAGAAGGAGAAACTCCCCAGAATCTTCCCAGAATCTTCCTGCTTCGTAATCTTTCCAAAAGCTGGCGCAAAATGGCTTCGTAATCTTTCCAGAAAATTACCCCAAACACGACTAGAAAACTTTCTGGAAACTACGAGAACCAGGCGCGCGACTACAACGCGGCACCGCTGCGGTGATAGAAGTAGAAGTAGAGTGACGAAGATTTCCACCATTTCTCTAAAATTCGAAGGACAAAATTCCATTTAGGAAGCCCTAGGAAGGATGCTTTTGTGGTTGTTTTCAAGCCAGGCTCTAGGGACTTCGAGTGGCGCACCGCAACTGGCAAGAGAACGACGGAAGTACAAAAAGGAAGCACATCTGGTGGAAGCCGAAAGTTTATGTTGACAGGTAGAAATCGTCAGGGAAGTGCTGTGTTTGAATGGTTCCGGTATTTGGTAACCTGAATTTGATCATAAGGGAAAACAAGAAGAGAACCCTTATGATCAAATTCAGGTTACCAAATACCAGAACCATACATATGCTGTCACAGTCGTGAATTATGCTCACCTCCTCGAGGCGAGCCAGCTCCTATCCTATCCTACTGGCGAAATTCGATGTTTTATTTCTAGGTAGAAGATCATGATAGAGTTAGAGAATGAACGTACGTGGCTGAGCAATTTATCTACAGAGTCCTCGCACGCCAGCAACTCATTAAGTTGTGCTTATACAGCACATCGAAAACAGAAAGACTCTAAGATACGGCGACGAGACCAAGGCGCGGCAACAGATGCGAAAATGGTTCATCCGGGCCCGGCTTCCAGTGCAATGCAAAAAACAGCTCTTGGCCCTGAAGAAGAAGAAGAAGCAGAAAAAGGCGAACCAGCGACGTCAGGAGGAGAAGAAAATGAACCGGTAGAAGGACAACAACTGGTAGAAGCTGGCGCAGTAGAAGGCGCTACTCCTGAAAAGGAAGTCGCCGTTCAAGAGGTTGCGATATCTTTGATGCAATCTGGGTTCACACAGAGTATGGGCACGTATTTTCTCCTCCACCAGACCAACCATGGCGGGCATTTGATCCATGCATAATTCTGGTCTAGGTCGTCTAGCTCTAGGCAGCAGGGGCTTCCATCCTGGTCTAGGTCTATTAGGCAGCTGATGATGCGAATCTATTCGGAAGGTTGCCTAAGATTTACGTAAGATGGTCTAGGCAGCTAAAAAAGTAGACTTAAACGCTTTTAGTGGGAATAGAGTGGGCGTGTCGGATGGTCTGTTCTTTGGATGGGAGAAAAGACAGCATCGTCTATAGAAAGGGAGGCATTTGGACCGTTCCAGTCTCAGGATTGTCCAGTCGAAGCTGTCCAAAACAACGAGCTGAATAGACTTCTGGCCTCAGTCGCCAACAAGCATTCTACCTTAAGAGCAGGAGTTCGACATCAAATCTTGGATGTAGTTGATGTAGTTGTTGATGTAGTTGTTGATGCAGAAGTGCAACTACAGATATATGTTAGCGATCGTAGCTTTTGAAATTGGTAGTAGCGTCGCGACAGCAGACAAGATCTGTGGGTGTGAATACTACTGCAGGAGTGACTCCTGCAGATACAGGAGTACTGCATGACAGATGAATACCTATGTATAAGATCGCAGTAGTACTAAGTACTCGAAAACTGAAAATAACCGAGTTACTGACTGAAATAAGGGAGGTAGCTCTGACAGGGCTACTCTTCCTTGTTCAGTATCTCGCTTATTGTAAGTAGTTACTCGCTTATTTCAGTTTTTCGAATAGATGTTGCAGGCACCTTTGCCCCCTTCTCTTCCAGTACAAATGTGCTTGTAACTTCAAGTAATCGAAAACTTAGAATAAGCGAGTAGTTACCGGAAATTAAAGGGTCCCTACGTATAGATACGTTGTTCCTCTTTCAGTATCTCGGTAGTTGTTCAAAGAAGTACTCGGTTATTCAAAGATGAAGTATTAACTTGCTTATTTCAGTTTTTCGAAGTACAACATTGATCTTACTTTGATCTTTGATATTACCCCACACTGTCTGAGACTGACTCCTGTCTGAGACTGAGAAAGCAGAAAGCAGTAGACGAGAGCCAGATTGGCTCACTTTTCTCTCTCTTTAGATGCACTTCTAATACCTCTAGCCAGATTGGCTCACTTTTCTCTCTCTTTAGCTTCTAATACCTCTACCCCTCGAAAGCGCAACGGAACATACCGTCCAGCAGTGGGGCTTTCCCCCGGCTGACTACTCCCTATGCCTCTGCGGTGCTGCAGATCGGAACATCGCAGTCACACGGACAGAGGTTAAGAGAGTGTGAAGGAACAGAGAAAAAAAATAGACGTTGTAGAAACAATTTTTAGAGTGAAAAAACAACCCTGCGTCCCCTCACGTCAAACGTTGAAGATGCCTTGGAGTCTGTACTAGTTGTCCACCACTTCCAATGTTTTACTTCTAGTAGTCTAAATTACTTTCAATTTTTGAGTGCTGCTGTCATTAGCTGTTACCTGCTCAAGTTGAGCATGCTATGTGGAAAATGCCTCGGTGTAAGCCGGTAGCATTTTCGGTTTTAGTTGCTACGGTTGTCACGAAAGATACAGGGATCAGGGGCTTACACGTTTACTTACATGCCATGACAACCGAAGGATACAGGCTACCTCCCTTGTGGAAGCTGAGGAAGTCCTAAAATTCCTATCCTGTTCCATCTTGATGTCCTATCCTGTAGTATGATTTAATGCGTTCCCGCCCTATCCTAGTTTCATGGCCGTCCTTGTCAATTATCTAACAACATAATAACATTGGTAAGAATAACATTGCTAAGAATTATATATATATGTACCAGGGAGGGAGGCCCCCTCCCCCCCCCTTAAGCTCGAGAATGGGACCCCCTGGGCTTTACGGGATTCCTCGGGCGGATATGATCTGGGGCTAAGCGATCGCCAGGCGGGTCCTGCTCCTGCTGGGGCCTCCTGCTGGGGCCTCCTGTGGTTCCTGTGGTTCCTGTGGCTCCTGTGGTTCCTGTGGTTCCTGTGGTTCCTGTGGTTCCTGTGGTTCCTGTGGTTCCTGTGGTTCCTGTGGTTCCTGTGGTTCTTGTGGTTCCTGTGGTTCCTGTGGAAGATGGCTGGCTCAAGTGGTTCGAAGGGAGAGCAAAGACCGACTTAATTTAGTTGGTTCCTTAGGCGTGTTTGGTCAAGTTCTTGAATGAATTTTTTCCGATTCTCGGCCTAGGATTGCAAATGGGTACCAATTTGAAACCTCAGCCCGACAGTCCAACAAAAAAACTAAGCCAGATCACGTCGCTCCGCACTAGGTTCCGAAAATAATTGGCGTTGCCTCTTTTCTTCTTTTCGTTTCACTCCTTGCACATTTTGAAAACGTGCAAGAAGTGAAAACCTATTGAGCGCTCTTTCTCCTTTCATAGCGAGCCATTTTTGGCGCAAGATTCGAAACCTTCTAAACCGGATTTGAAGGCGCCTTAATGGCCTACTTACTTGCATTTGGGAACGAGATTGGAAACAACAAAACAAACAAAACCCCCCACCATCAGCGATCTCTTGTCGCAGCAACTTCTTCCGAGCACCCCCGTCGCGTCCCTTTTCTGCTTCAATTTCTGCCCGGGGGGAAAGTTTCCACCCCCGTCCCCTTTCTGCTTTAATTTCTGCCCGGGGGGGAAAGTTTCCACCCCCGTCCCTCTTCTGCTTCAATTTCTGCCCGGGGGGGAAAGTTTCCACCCCCCTTGGTTGATTTTCTGCCAGGTTTGCTGCCTCGGGAACACTTTCTACCCCCCTGAGTGATTTTCTGCCAGGTTTTGCCGCCTCGGGAACATTTTACCGCCGACCTTTGTTGATTTTCTGCCAGGTTTGCTGCCTGGGGAACATTTTCCGCCCCCCAGGTTGATTTTCTGCCAGGTTTGCCACCTCCTCGGGAACATTTTCCGCGCCCCTTTGTTAAATTTCTGCCAGGTTTGCCGCCTGGGGAACATTTGGCCGCCTCGAGGTTGATTCTCTGCCCGGTTTGCTCCCTTCGTTGATTTGCTGCCAGGTTTGCCGCCTCCGGAACATTCTCCGCCCCCCTGGTTGACTTTCTGCCGCATTTTCTGTCAACTGGGAACATATTCCGCCCCCCTCTGTGACTTTCTGCCGCATTTTCTGCCTACCCGGGAACGTTTCCCACTCCCCTGGTTCAGTTTCTGCCACCCGGGAACACTCTCCGCCCCCGTCTGTGACTTTCTACCACCCAGGAACATTTTCCGCCCTCCTCTGTGACTTTCTGCCGCGTTTTCTGCTTGCCCGGGAACATTTTCCACCCCCCTCCGTGACTTTCTGCCACCCGGGAACACTTTCCGCCCCCCTCTTGGACTTTCTGCCGCATTTTCTGAAAATCGGGAACATTCTCTGCCCCCCTCTTGGACTTTCTGCCGCATTTTCTGCCACCCAGAACACTTTTGCCGCGCCTTCCTCTTGGACTTTCTGCCGCATTTTCTGCCAAGCTCTGTGAACTTCTGCCGAAGGGACTTTTCTCCCTCGCCGTCTTGTGGACATTTTCCGCGTCCCTCTGGGGGTTAAGACTGGCACTCACCTAAAAGGGGAACGCTGCTGCCCATCGTCCGCCACGTCAAAAGCTCCCAACAAAGCTCCCAACTTCACGGGATTTCTGGTCTTCCCTCAATTCAATTTCTGGTCTTCCCGCCCGAGAAATCCCGCAAAGCCCAGAGGGCCCCTTTCTCGACCCTACCCCCCCCCCCCTGTGGATGGATCGGGGGTGGACCACGCCAGAGGGGTCCAGCCTTGCCACCTTATTGGCCAGGCCTGTCGAGGGGCTGCCGGGCGGGAAGGCCTCAAAGCGCCCACTTCTGACCCCTTCCCGCTTCTTGCATGTACCCTACAGACCTGGCAAAGGCAGGGCCCCGCTGGCTTGTTGCATGTACCCGACAGACCTGGCAAAGGTGGCAAAGGCCGGGCCCCGCTGCCTTGTTGCATGTATCCACCGACCCGGCAAAGGGGGCAAAGGCAGGGCCCCGCTGCCTTGTTGCGTGTACCCTACAGACCTGGCAAAGGCAGGGCCCCGCTGCCTTGTTTCGTGTACCCTACAGACCTGGCAAAGGTGGCCAAGGCCGGGCCCCGCTGCCTTGTTGCATGTACCCTACAGACCTGGCCAAGGGGGCAAAGGCGGGAACCCACCCCTTTGGCGTAGGGTTGGGCACACGCAACACGACAAGAGGGCCCAGCCTTTGCCACCTTTGCCAGGTCTGTAGCGTACATGCAAGAAGCGGGAAGGGGTCAAAAGTGGGCGCTTTGAGGCCTTCCCCCCCGGCAGCCCCTCGAAAAGAGGGGCCGGGGCGGGGAGGCCCCCCCCCTTCAAAAGGGGGGGGGGGGGGGGGGAGGGGGCCTCCCGCCCTGAGCCCTGGAACATATAAACATGAGTAAGAATAACATTAGTAAGAATCACATTGGCGTGTAGACTTAGCAAACGCAACCTATGATCCTATCCTATTCTAATCACATTGGTAATGCTAATGGTAGTTCTAGTTGATGTTGCTTCTAATAACATTGGATCTTCAATTACAAAATTGTTCCACAGGATTAAGTTTGATCAGCGTCGGTCGTGCGAAAAATTGCGGACAATCCAAGATTTACATTAAGGCCTAATACAAATAAGTACTTTTACTTGTGTAACTGTACTTTCACATGTATGGTTCTGGCATTGGGTAACCTGAATTATTTGATCTCGAGGCCCTCAAGGATATCCTTCCCGTTTTCCTTATAATCGAAGTCAGGCTATCAAATACCGGCGCCACTCGTCGCAACTGTAACTGTAAACAGAGTAGGTTATAGCACGCATGGAGTGCATGGAGTAGCATGGAGCGTATGGGGCGCAGATGCATAAGGGACGCAAGAAGGGCCCTCTTTAGCTCCATGCAGCTCCATGCGATCCATGCACTCCATGCCATGCGAGCTGCGCAGCCTTCTGTGTAAATTATTCTGCTGTAGTTATTCGCTGCTATTTGCCTAGTGCAGGGCTAGCTGCTCTTAGTCTCTTGATTAGTCGCCGTCTAGTCCACGCACGTCATTCATCTTATACTTTATGAAATCTTGCGTGCTTGAGACCTAGAGGAGGTAGAGTTAAGTAAGATGAATGACGTGCGATCCAGTTCCCCCGTTCCGTAATAAATGATGAAGAGAAGAAATGAGGAAAAGCGCACTCATCTTAGCTAACTCTACCTGCTCTAGATCTCATTTCAAGCACCTCATTCATCTTACTTAACTCTACCTCCTCTGGATCAGATGTAGATGTAAGCAGACTTTTCTCATTTCAGGCACTGTTCTCTCGTCCGCTTCGAAGCTTCAAAGCTTGTAATTGACGAGTTACTTCTTACTTTTATTGTGTTGATTAAAGATAGTATTTTTTTATGTCTCTCCTAGTTAGGTCGGCTCTACCAATTTTATTGTGTTGATAGACCAGGGCTTTTCTCGTTGCGCCACCTACTTAACCTCCTGACGCACACCGTCGTCGCAACTTCTAACAACAGCAGGTCACGTCCATCGTAACGGAGCGTGGTGCTGCTCGACCTGGACTGCAACAGTGTGATTTTTATGGCTCTGAGTCAAGAAAGACTTCTCGTAGAAGTGCAACCTCCATCTTGGAGTCGACAATCAATGATCGTAGGTAGTTTCCCCACAGCTTTTCAGTTGATTGCGCATTAATATCAAGGGTAACAAGCAGGGTTGGCGTCCCTGCCCTCGTGCCTTGTAGGCAGGGGCATAAGCGTGGGACGGTTGGCAGCCGGTGGCGGTTTATATAACACTACTACTCCCCTCCTTTGCCCCTAGGCTTCACCAGATTAAAATCGGCGGGTTTATAGGCAATTGCTCCACCCGACCTCAGTAGAAGGTGAAGGAGGTTAACGGACTCCACCCGTCGCCGGCAGGTACACCGGATATCACGCGGGTCACCCTTTCGGCGGTCTTAGCCTAGAAAAAAGATCGAGGTCCCTGCGCTTGGCCTTGAGAGTAGATCTCTAGTACTAGTGGAGTAGAACTCCACCACATCCGCCTTTATTGTTGTGAGGACAGACTCTATCGTAAATAGTGTAGTTCTTATACTCGAATACTCAAAGTAAGCAAGTAAGAAACACAATGAACGAGTATCTGAGAATATTTCCTAGCATACTCGGTTATTTCAGTTTTTCGATTACCTGAATTGTGACCTCTTCCACCTCTAAGCCGAGCCTCAATCTGGTCTACGAACCGGTCCGGACGTGCCAGCGATATCGTCTTTTTCCTCTTACCAAAAGGGTTTAAGCCCCATGGGTCGGATCAATTCCGTTATTTTGGTACGCCTGCCGAACTACTATAGTACACCAGCCGCGGACATGTCTATTAAGGCCATCGTCGCAGCTCCATGACTTTTTAGCATCACCCTGGCTACCAGGTATAGGTAACATCGATGGACTCGATGATAAGCTGAATGAACTTCTAATCCTCGCCAAGAGGTCAAGCTGCTGTATCCACGGTGTCTCGATGCAGATCTGGAGAATCCGAGACTGGGTAATCCACATAAGTTTACGAATGCGCGCGAAGATGATCTCGCGCGAAGACAGAGAAAGCTTGCTCGCGCTACCTGTTAAGGCTACCCTGGTTCTTTGTTTTTCTACCCAGCATCAGATTCCTGGGCCTCTGCATCATTCTTACTTTAGCATCACCCCTCAGCATCATGCCTCGGCATCATCCCTGAAGCAGAAGTATCATTTTGAAGCACATCAAGCATGTACTTAACACCATCGTCCCTTGAGAAACCTACTTTAAGTATAGACGGTGGGAAGGTGGGCACGGTGGGCGACGCTGGGCCGCTGGGCGGCCACGCTTGGCACGGTGGGCGGACCCTTGGCACACATGGGGGGCACGGTGGGCGCACGCTGCGCGCGTATAGCGTTGGCCCGCTGCTTCCGCCAACGTACAGGGCCGCAGTCGAGGGCAGCGCGGCGCTGTGCTCCTTCGCGGAGCGGCCACGTTCTCGCTGCTTGCGGTGCTTCGCTGCTGTCTGCAGTGCCGCCTGGGTGTGTAGAGTGCGGCGCAGCGCTGCAATGGGCCTCAGTGCTCTGCTGCAATGTGCGGCCAGTGCTGCTGAGGGATATTCCCAGGCGGGCCAGTAGGTTGGCGCCCCGATTCGTATGCAGCTTGCTGCGGATCCAGGGCGCATGCGCTTACTCTGCCGGGGGGCTTCAGAAATGCGCGCCTGAAGGGCGCCTCGATTTTTGGCCCCACTTCTCACGATGGGCGCGCGGTGGGCGACATCTTTGGCAGATGACCGACTTTTGGGCCGCCCAGCGGCCCAGCGTGCCAAGCGTGCCCACCGATCCAATTCTGGGGAGGCTATGAACTTTCCTACGTACTAGCATAAGCCCTCAGCATCATCCCTGAAGGCCCTTTGTTTTTCTACTAGAAGATCGAGAGTACAGTAGCATTTTATTTTATTGATATTATTTCAAACTAAGTTTTTTCTACTAGGGATAGTAGAAGTATGTAACTAAACGAAGCAACACGACCCAAAGGCAAACAAGTAGGATCTTCTTATTAAATGAATTATTACGTTGAATCTACTATCGAAATTGAAGGAACAGCAACAACAAGATGCTATCCCTAATGCTAATAGTACTAACCCTACTCAAGGAAGTACTACTGCTAGATCCACCGGCTCTAGCTGGTAAACTTAGCGCTAGTGCCACTCTCTTCTAAACTTGCGAGACATTCCAGAGGGCTCAAAGGATGCGGTATTTTTCCGCACGTACGAATACAGACATGGATAGGCTAGATCCTGTATTAAGGCTCCTTTCCGCATGAAGATAGACACCTCACTCTGTTTTATCCAGTAGGAAAGAATGTGATAAGTGAACAGGAGGGGAACGCCTAAGCATGTCCTCATCGGGGATGTTCTGCAGATCAGGAAGCAAAGAAGTCGGGGATGTTCTTTTGAAGAAGGCGAAGAAACTGAGCATCAAGAGCACGCCTCTAAGCCACTACTCGAAAACTGAAAATAACCGAGTTACTGACTGAAATAAGGGAGGTAGCTCTGACAGGGCTACTCTTCCTTGTTCAGTATCTCGCTTATTGTAAGTAGTTACTCGCTTATTTCAGTTTTTCGAATAAGCAAACTGAGCATCAAGAGCCTCTAATTGAAACGCCACTGGTCACTTTCGTCTTCTACGATGCCCAAAAACTTTTACCGAAGGACCAGATTCCGGAATCAAAGAAAAGAGAGAAATCGGAAGCCGAAGGAGGTGAACATTATGGCTCCTCAGCCAAGACCAACATCGATCGGATCGATCTTGATCTTTCAATATTTTTTTCTTTTCCTAGTTAGCTTGGCCTCTTTCAATATTTTTTTCTTTTCCTAGTTAGCTTGGCTCCACCCATAATATCATAAACTGATGTAGTTGTCAATCCAAGCGTTGCTGCGCTCACGACTGTGAGGAGTGAGCGCAGCGTTCCACTAAAGTTCTACATCTTTCTTCACTACATCTCGTCTCTCCCCTACGTTCATTTGTCTCAACTAGTACATCCTGATTTATTTTTTACTTATTTAGTCCTAACATGATCTTTCTCCACTACAACATCTTGGCAGTAATAATAATAATCTAACTCCAACAAGATGAGGAGGAGGACGAAGAAGACGAGGAGCTGAGGGAAGAGGAACAGGAATTATTTCCACAGGAACATCAAAACTTCTTTGCTTGCCTTCGTTTACGGCTACATTTAGAACTTGTTGAAAGGTGAACATCGACCACTATGCGTTGACTCTCACACTAGAATTGATTCTCAAATAGGATGTTGCAGTCGAAAGATGAACATTCGCAGAAGATAACAGCCAATATAGTACAGTTTCATTGACTTACTTCAAACTCAAAGATGTTGCAGCCGAAAGAAGATGAACATACCTAGATCAAGATGGCTAGTGTGTTCTAAGATGTTGCAGTCGAAAGAAGATGAATATACTCATACTTAGATAGCCATAGCTTTAGCTAGTAGGTTGCTATCGAGAGAAAATGGACATTGAACATTGAACATACCTAGAAGTAGATAGCTTCTCTACGGATGACAAATTAACTTCTACTACTGTTTTCTTACGAATGGACATTGGGCATCCCTAGAAGTAGATAGCTTACAACGAGTAGTAATATACATCGATCTTCTAACTCGTTTCTTTTGTGATGCAGGAATCTCAAAGCTTGCCGCCGAAATGGTAGCGGAGGAAGACAGAGACGAGACTGATGACGGGGTCGTTGTCACGGATAGTAGACCCATCTGGGATAAGCGGATAAAGAAGGATTACGGCGCTGCTAGCTTATTCTTATTCAGAGGAAGTCCCTCCACAACACTCGTAAGTCTTATTCTACTCGTGACGCCGTGGCAACTTCCTCATTTTATTTCTTCGTCTGCAGGTCGTGGGTGTAGCTTTATTTTCACAGAACAAGAAAGCACTACAACCACGACCTCTAGTAGTCACGGCACCAGAACAAAGCACTGCCACGACTCGATAACTTTCGTTTGTTCTTGGGTTTGAAGCCTCTGCTACATGTGACTGCACATCATGCACATCAACATCATGTAGTATTTGCACTTTTTTTTTAGGATCTCCAAAATGAAACCCTCTCTCTCGTCGACCTCGACGATCTGCTCTAAAAAAAAGCAGACTACTATGACGGCAAGCGTGGTTTCGTACACTTCTTATGAACAAACGGACACGCTTGTGGACGAGGAGGTCAAAATTTAGGGAAGATTAGGGGAAATTATGGCTCCCTAATTTTCCCTAAAATTCGTATGTGGGTTTAAGCGTGTCCGTTTGTTTCTAAACTTCGTGCAGAAGGAGAGACTCACGAAGATGTCCCCAAGTGCCAGAGCGGCCGCGGAAACCAATCCCCTAGATTTTAGTGGACGTTGGGTCAAAATTAAGGCTCCTAACATAGAAGAAGTATGTTGGATCGATCCCCTAGATTTTAGTGGAAGGTCGTTGGGTCAAAATTTACCCCCTAGATTTTAGTGGAAGGTCGTTGGGTCAAAATTAAGGCTCCTAACATAGAAGAAGTATGCTGCATATCCATATATCCCCTAGATAGATAATCTGAGTGGAAGGTCGTTGGGTAAAAATTAGGGTAAACACAAACGCTAACCCATCGTGACAGGACAATCGAGAGACCTAGAATATTATTTCTTGATGAAGTCGTGATGTTAGAACATTTCTTTCAGAGTGTGCTAAGAAAGACATCTGGGCTGCAGTAGTCGGCACCAACCCTGACGATCCGAATCAGAGTATTTTTAGCCTTGATTCCTCACCTGAAGCAACCCGTGGACCTTGGGACTTCGACTTGGCGCAGCGTGATGATGATTTCGATTCCATTCCTGGTGAAGGTAGAGGTACAACTAGTAATGGAGATGGTAGTGAGGCAGGAGAAGAAGCAGAAGGCGCAGGTGATAAGAGAGGAGGCGGCACAAGTGACGGTGGAGAAAGTAGAAAACGTGAAGGAGTAGATGAAGAAGGCACAACAAGTGACGGTCGCAATGGTGCTGAGGGAGGAGGCGGCACAAGTGACGGTGGGGAAGGTGATAAGAGAGGAGACGGCACAAGTGGCGGTGGCAATGTTGCTGAGGGAGGAGACGGCACAAGTGGCGGTGGCAATAGTGCTGAGAGAGGAGGCGCAACAAGTGGCGGTGGCAATGTTGCTGAGGGAGGAGACGGCACAAGTGGCAGTGGGGAAGGTGGAGAAGGAGGTGAGCGTCCAGGTGTCGAAGAAAAGCCAGTGTCTCAGAAAGCTGCTTTCTTGGAGACTGGAGCTTTGGGAGCAGACGGGCAAGGGGGTACATCGGAGCAAGGGCAAGGAGATACATCGGGGCAAAGACAGGGAAGCACATCGGGGCAAGGGCAAGGAGCTACAACGGGAGAAGGGCAAAGAGATGCACCGGAGCAAGAGCAAGCAGGTACACGGGAGCAAGAGCAAAGAGATGCACCGAAGCAAGAGCAAGAAAATGCGCTGGCAGAAGGGGATGACAAGAAAGATGCGCTGGCAAAAGATGATGCCAAGACAGATGCGCTGCCAGAAGGGGATGACGAGACACAATCAGAGGCTGGCGTTGATGCCCTTGCCCTTCGTCAAAGTGGAGCAGAGTCGTCAGCTTTACATGAATCCTCAGACTCACACCTCGCGAAGCTTGGTGGAGATAAAGATGAAGTCGGGAGTGCAGAAGCAGGTCGAGCCCACGGCGGTGGCGGGAGCACTGATCCCTCTGGTGGTAGTGCTTTTGAACGGTCCGGATTAGGGCTTCTTTTAGTCGGTCGCTATCTCATTCTGTAGCTTATCGTTATCTCATGCTGAGACACCCCTTGATTAACGTCGAATCAAGGCAGGTACAAAAGAAAATATATCTCATGAAGACAGTGTAACACCCTTCCCACTCTCTGTCAGTGTTCAGCTTCAGATAGAGCCACGAGGATCAAATCAAAAAATATTATCTTTGACAAGTACCAGTACCACTACGTCAACCTCGTCTAAGAGTCAGGCGTGACCTAGCTGGTGCAGGAGCAGAGCCGAGCCGTGCGACAACTCTTGCGGAAAGAGTTGGGAGCTCACCCTTGTGGAAACGTATGGCTTCCTGGGGGAGAGGTCTGGGGAACTTCGTAGGGCGTCGTAAGGAAAACACCGAAGAAAGCGATCAGGTGAAAAGCTTCAAGATGATGCAGGGCGCTGAAATTAAGCTTCTGTAGAAGACGTGAGACAGTAGAAGGTGTCCTTGGTCGCAGATTAAACAATTGGAAAACAAACTGGTGACGTTGGCGAGGGGTGGAAGTGGATAGACAATGATCGGACTTATAGAAATAGAGGTTTAGCAGGTTATAAACATTGTTTATTAATAAAAACAACAGAATCAAAATGAAAAGTCGGAGAAGTGCTACTAGTTAAGTTAGTAAAAGTAGATTGATAGAAGTAATCATATTAGAATTAGTCCTCTGTGTTGTATATGCATTTCTTGGCTAATATCGCTGCATCACTCCCTCTCCGAGTTCAAAAATTTATTTCAGCTTGATAAGTTTAAGTAAAAGTATTCCGTGAAAAGCACCTGGACCAGGACACCATGATCGCTGTTTCGGAAGTATCACGACTTTTGCACACCCTCTATTTTATGGCTCACAACTACATCACAGTCATATTGATTTATCATTTCTTTTTGATCCCGGAACCCCCGTGAGACTTACTTTTGTATTTGTCCTTCAACAAGAGAAAGAGTACAACTCGCCCATAATTCTCCGATACAGGTACTCCGTTTCTGTCCATTAATTTATGAGGAAAAATTGGTTGTCTCTTCAATAAGTCCAGTGTGTCAGGTCCTAAGAGATCAGACTCCTACTACTTGTTCTTCTCTCACTCCCCCTCTTCTTTCACTCCTCCTCTGCTTCTTCCTCTGCTTCTTCCTCCTCTTCCTCCTCTGCTTCTTCCTCCTTTTCTCCCCTCGTCCCTCATCGTTCTCCCCCTCTTCTAAAAATCGTTGAGAATTGGGAAAGCGCTATGCGTACATGGGCTATTCTTAGGAGCACGATGTTGGACGACTTGAGCCTTCGCTTAGCCTACGTCCCGAAGAATCCAGGTCCCATGAAAACAAAGAAAAAGAAAGATTTAAGGCTCCCGAATACCAGCGCGGTGCTTAAGTTTTTTGAAGTTTTTGCTTTTCAAAAGCAAAGTAATAGTCATACCGACAAAGTGCTCTCGTATTAGTATTAGTTGAAGCTGAGTACGATCATGAGCATGAACTTGAAGTTGAACTAGAAACAGGATTGCTTGATCTTGATCACAGGTGCGCTGTTTCTAAAAATAAGTGCAGATGACAAGGGCGCAAACGTAAAAACGAAGGATGCCTCAGCTGAGACAAAAGGAAACCTTAAAAAAAAACCAAAGCACCAGCCAAAGGTGGTCTCCGAGTCTCTCAGTTTCACTATCTTAAGATGAAAAGGGTAAGGGAAGAAACTACTTACTTACTCGAAAACTGAAAATAAGCGAGTTCCTGACTGAAATAAAAGAGTCTTGACTACGTTCCTCTTCATTTTTCAGCACCTCGCCTATTTTAACTAGTTACTCGGTCATTTCAATTTAAGACAAAAAAACAATCTTCAGGAACAAGAGCCACTTCCTTAATTTCAGTTGAAGGCAAAAAACAATCTTCAGGAACAAGAGCCACATCCTAAGTATTGCAGCAACAATTCTAAGTATTGCAGCGTACAAAAAAAAAATTCCAGGGAAGTACGAACATGTTACACGCAACATGCGGAGGTTTGCCGAGCGAAGTCAAGCGATCGAGGAGGCTAAGGCTACACCGAATGAAGCATACCCTCTTAATAAAGTCAACTCCCTTGGCCTCCTTTTATTCTTAGGAGCTGAAAAGAGATTCAGGGAAGACGTAGGTCCAACCCGAATCGACTAACATCACCGTCGTCTTCAGCTAAAAAATTATAGAAAAAAAACCTTGTGTGAGTGATCAACGCGACGAACAACTACGAGGGCGCCCTTATGGCAGTCTCCACTGAACTTTGTGCGAGATTTACTGCATTGCAAGGGACTCAAGGATGCACTCAGGGGCGCTAACGCGGTAGCTCTAAGGAAGAAGGCGGTTTGGAATTAAGGCCGCTGTCGTGAGTCCCTATCTCAAAATCTCTCCAGATCGTATTTTCGCAGCGAATCAACTCCACCAGGAATAGCGAAGTTAGTACCTGTTCCTCAAGCCCCCTTCTCACGGGCACAATGAATTTACCAGCGTTAATAGAAGCAGCGCTGAGGCAAGCAGACGAGTATGACGCAAAGAAGCTTAAGGAGGAGGCTGCTGGTCCGGAAGAGCATTATGTTGAGGACTAACGACAACAGCTGCGAGGAAGTTCGTAGTTTGAAACTATCTTAGACTTATTCGAAAAGTGAAAATATATAGTTAAATAAGCGAGTTGTAGGTAACTGCCTACAACAAGTACTATAATTGGCACACCAGCAGGTAAGGATGACGCCGAACAAGCTTCACATCTCTAATAGAAAGCTCAGGGAGACGTGGAGGAGCAGGCCCTTCCCCCTTATCGTCGATTCGACCAGAAGCATGACCTTTTTTAGGAAGAGACATGGTGATAGGTAGTTTTCCATTTGATTGTATGGCTCTGGTATTTGGTAACCTGAATTTGATCATAAGGGTTCTTTTCTTGTTTTCCCTTATGATCAAACTCAGGCTATACCAAAAATACCGGAGCCATTCGCTGACGATGTTGATAATGAAAACGATAACTCTTAGTCGAGCTAGAGCTAGAGCAGTGAGACATGAGTGGTAGAGTTTAGTTCTGATTTTGAAAATATTGAAATTCTTTTCTTGATGTTGATGAATGATGAATTGAAATTAGTGGTAAAACCTTACTATATTGATTCTAAATCTAATTCATCACTCCAAATCTAAGTCGAATTCTACAACATGTACTAGATTATTTTTATGTTCACAAGAACCGTCGACACAGATATTATAATCCGTCTAATCTGCGGAGACCGAGTTCGCGTTGCATAATCTGTTCAACATGCATGTGCAACACACTGTTCGGGACGAGATCAGAGCGCAATTTTCTCCAGAAGGCTCTTCGAGCGTTAAGGCCATCAGGGACATGATACCTTCAAAATAAAATTTCAAAAATCGTCATTATACTTTTTGAAATAAGTAGTTGTAGGTCCTTGTTTTTGAAATAAGGCCCTTACTAGGAGGTTGAAAACAACATTTCGACTTCTATCCCATGTTCCTTCTTGTTCTTGTTGTGGACTCAATATACAAATGGGTGGCGTATACATAGTTGTAGAGGCTGACTCCCCGTTTAGAGGCTGATCATTTAGGCATGGGCGGAAAGAATAAGATGCTGATGAATCTTCACGCCTCACGATCTGTTCATCTCATGAGAATCTCCAGGGGGAGAAGATGAAAAAATTATTCTGTTGCATTGAATTACTTATTTCAAAGTTACTTATTTCAGCAAAGCAACTACAACTTAACCACGGACGATGGTGATTGACTAGCGTTAAAAAGGCGAGCAGCGTCAATGCTTGAAGAAATGAATTGCATAATTGAGGTTCAACCTGAATTGCGAAGTGCATTCTCTTCCGACCGGATGGGTTCTTATATTTTTTGTTGTTGGGTCTGAGCTTGAAGAAATAAATTGCATTGAGGTTGGGGTTGGGCCTCAATTATATCAGACGTTTCTCACCGTTTCCCTTTCTCCCTTAAGACTGAGTCACTCTGAAGAAGTGACAACTTGCTAATTAACTTCTTCGCTCTATACCCCAGCCGTGAATGGGCACACTACTGCTACTACTCAATGAGTCACTTATTGCTTTGAACTCCTCTAATAGTGGCAGCAAGCCGCTGAGTCGCGGAAAATCGCTAACGCGGAGTTTTACCTCCAACGCTGGCGCGTTGTTTTCAAGAAGTCTCTCTGCCGTTGGAGCTCGTCGTTAAGGAAATTCAAAAAAAAATTCTAGTCTATAGACGTTCCGTTTAGTTCTATCGAATAAGCAGACTACCACTGGTTCTCTTGCCAACTGCCATTGATTGTTCTCCTGATGCTGACTACCATTGTTCTCTTGATGCTGACTACCATTGTTCTCTTGAGGCTGACTACCATTGTTGGAACAGTCTCAGTCTCAGTGAACAAAGATCTGCTTCGTCTCGCAGAAGCTGTTCGTAGAAGATAGACCCCGAAGGGCCACTAGTTTGGAGGAACTGAGCTATTCTATCCTAAAGTATTTACGGCAGTCTGCACTGAACTTTGTGCGAATCGGAACTCGCTTGCAAAATGCGCAGGTTGGTTTTGATATATCGGAACTCGCTCACGATACAAAAAAAAAAAAGTGCGAGATTAATTGTATTGTATTGTATTGCCCCCTACGCCGGTATCCACGCGGAAAATATGTAGGCAGGTTCTTCACGGAACTCGCTCCCGATACAAAAAAAAAAAATGTATTACTGTATTGTATTGTAATTATTGTATTGTATTTCGCCAACAACTCTTTTACAACTTTCTCTAAGATAGCGAAGGCGAGCAGCTGACGTGGATCGATAGTGACGCACTCGTCGTGCATGGGGAATACCTTTTCATCGACGAGTGGTACATTATGACGATCGACTTGCTTCAAGACAGAGCATCTTCTTCAAGATCAAAATGAATACTTTTCATAGGCTGCTTCCCATTCTTGTTAGAAATACGTTGCAGCCTTTTATTTCTCAAAGTGTGTGAAAAAATATGCAGCTACCGGGGATTGTACATCAGCTACAGCAGCTGCATAATCATATAAGCATAGTTAGCGTTGATTTTTTCTCTAAGTACTACCTGAATCCTAAGCATAGTCTAGTTGATGTTTTCTCTAAGTACTACCTGTTCCAGTTACCTCGTCTCGCTTTTGAGGTGGATGGCGTGGAAGAATCGGACAAAAAGACTGGTAAAAAGGTGAAAAAATTACGGCTGGAAGTGTTTCACTATGCTCGTTGGCTATCCAGTGTTTGTAGTGTGGAACCTCTGCAGTATCTGCGGACTGGTGGGCTGCCTCTTCAAGAGGAGCAGGCCCTTCCTGCACTTCAAAAGGCTTGGAACAAGTAGGCAGAAATAGCGGACTTATTTGATAGATTTGAACCAGGAATCTTCACGATCTAGTGAAGACAAAGGGCGTCTCCAGGAATCTTCACGATCTAGTGGAGACAAAGGGCGTCTCAGCTTTAAGCAACTCTAAGAAAAAATAAAAAGTCCATACCAAAAAACGCGTTAGCGGATCGGGTAGAGTGGCACGTTTTCGGCCTTCCATTACCTACTCCGAGCACGAATTATGAACCAAAATACTATTTTTAGTACTGCTTCTTGATCTACTTCTAGACCACAGTTGTACAACCTCCACTAGAAAGTTGTAGCCACTTCTAGATGTTGGCACTACGACTCGAAGACTAGAAAACATACTCTAGAGCCCACAACTACATGTAGAAGATGGCACCACTAGAAAGCGATGTTTGAGTTTGAGTATTCCACCTTGGGGGAGAAGCATCTGCATGGTTCCAATATTCGCATCAGAATTATTCCAGGACCTTTTTTACCTCTACAACAACTTGCCTTTCTCTTATACATAGCCTGCATTGCAATTCCTAGAGAATGTTGTATGAGAAGGTTTTTACTTGCATGCTAAGAAGATAAGGTTTTTACTTCTGAAGGCTTTATTCACTTGAGGTACTCTATTACCATTACCTTTACTTGTCTGCTAAGTTATAATCTGTTATGATCCTCGAGCTCGCAATTACTTACCAGATTCTGTCACTGTCTCTGCGTGTAGTTCAGAACTAATCTACTCGAGCCTGTTTCGTCCCGGACAACGCGGCCTGGCCGCAGAGCCGCGGACCTTGAACCTTGAACCTATCGCAATTAATACGTATCGCAATTAATACGTATCGCAATTAATACGTATCGCAATTAATACGTATCGCAAGTAAAAATATCAATCAACGCATCGCAATTAGTACTCGACTACTAGTTCTAACGTATCGCACTCACTCGAGAAGATTATGGTGCAGCGGTGTCAAACTTGCTAGTGGAGCAGATAGGCGCCACTGGAATTATCAGAAATATGGGGCCTGACGATCTGGAACTGGCCAGGCGCGAACCTTGGAAAGGCATGGATCCTTTGTATCCTGAACGGTTTCTTAGCCTTAAGAGGAGAAAGAGAATGAATATATTACTTGGTGAAAGATGAAATAGTTAGTCTCCCTTAAGAAAAAAAAAAAAGTAAGAGGATGCATTGAGTCTGAAAAATCTGAATGGAATACTAGAAAGAGATACCTAGGTTCAAGAGGAGGATGAATACGAATACTAGAAGGACATAGATTTACGCATCCTTATGAGGAAGATAAATGAATAAGGACATAATGTCTAGATCTACACCAACATTAGTTTTGCAGGAGTTCTACAACTGCCACAACTCCAACTGCATGGCTGAGGTGGATAACACTAATTAGAGATGTTGTACCCCGCGAGTGGGTACATCAATCAATCAATCAATCAGCTAACCTAATTAATCTAACTGCGTTCTCATTTCTGAACATGTGAAGATAAAGATAGAAGTTCTACTTCTTGTTCGCATCTTCTATTATCTAATTTTTGTAATGACTTGTTCTATTTAGCTACTATGCCGCTATGGCAGAGTAGGAGTGCGTTCGTTTGCACTGGTCTCTCTGCTTGTTCAGGAGAGAATTCCACCTAGCTATGGGGAGACTTTTTCCTTTTCCTAGAGGATGCATGGTTCCAAGACGTCGTGGTTGTAACATCTAAAATGTTTGATCCGAATAGACTGAGACTACGACAACAGGATCAAGAGGCGAGGTGGAGCCTGGCTCGTTGGGTTGCTCAGAATTTGCCACCAAAAGAATGGAAACAGTTAAGACTTGGTCACTAGGATTTAAGAAAGTACTTAAATAGTATTGGACTCGGCCACTAGGATTCGGAATTATGCAAGTACGGATAAGACTTCAGTAGAGGGAACTAAGAAAGTGCTTGGTGTAAGACTTGAGTAGTAGAATAAGGAATTAAGAAAGTTCTTATAAGACTTGTTGCGGAGCAGGAAATATTAAGAACAAAGTACTTGTAGGACTTGGCTATGGCTAGGTGGAATACTTGGCGGAAGAGAAGGTGCTTACATTTTGACTTACAAGTAGGAAGTCCTAGCACTAAGAGACAGGTCTCGCTGATGTAAGAAGGTACTTGCAAATAGTACGTGTGCTTGTTCAGGGTAATTCATCATTGATGAAGTAGGTTCGTTATATATAAGTAGTCAAGCTAGTTTAGCAACACGTGTATCTTCTATAATACCAACACGTGCATCTTCCACTGGAAGAGGACTCTTAGTCGCTAAGTAGATAGGATTAGCTCACTGCATTCTCCTAGAAGTAGAGGACTCATTTCGAAATAATCGATTACACGAGCGTGAGAGTGAGTTGTCACTCGTTGTACCAATACAGGCTGCACAACATTCCCATCAAGACATACAACAGGGTAACGGGGTAATAAACAACTCTTATTCATTCATATTAGCTCTCTGCCTCCTGTAGCTCTAACCAGAGCCTACACCCAGAGGACAGTCGTCCCTGTAGCGAGACCAAAAAAGTAAAATTCTACCACATCATCATCACCATCATCATCATCATCATCATCATCGTAGTAGTAGTAGGCTCTAATAAAGAAGCAACAGCGGATGGATTTGCTACGACAGCCTGGCTTCAGGGAGCTCGGGATCGGCACAATGTCTACCAATTGCTTACTAGTTATGTAGCCTTGTCCACCGAAGATTACTTAGCACTTATGTGTGATTTTAGAATGTCGATAGAACAAATAGAATGTTGCCAAGATGAATATTGATACCGGTACAGGAAGAGAAGTCGAAAAATGATCATAGGGAAACATGATGTAATGATGATTATCCTCGATTATTATTATCATTAAGTGATAATAATAATCGAGGATAGAAGAAGTAGAATACGTCTGCGTCTCACTCTGCATCATGTGACTAAAGCTCGTTGCTCTGATACATAGACTTAGAGCTAGAAGACATCATAGCTGTTGTGATGAAAACGCTTACCGTTCATAAGCCCTGTAGGAGCCACCCAGTTGGCCTCGAAGCAAAGTGTTTTGTCCTCGTCAGGACGTCGGGAAAGATCCGTCTCAGCTGGGCCAATAGCGGGAGGGGAAGGCGGAGTTAAGGGCTATCATTATTTCTGCCATCATTTCAGTCAATTTCGAAAATCTGAATTTTTTTGAGGTTCTGTCGGAATCTCAACTAGGGCGAGGGCCACGTCGTCTCTTGTTCTATTGTAACCTATGTATATCTAAAGCTACGTCGTCTCTTGTTCTATTGTAACCCATATGGACGAAAGCTAAAGGGGGAGGAAAAGAGAAACATAAATCCACCCGACCCGGAAGATGATTTGAGTACAACTTCTAGTGCCCCCTCTGATAAGGAAGATGATGCTACTAAATCTAAACATGATCCCTCAAGCTTCACGTCGACTGGTCGTGGTGAACAACTAGACGGAGGACAGCCAGAAGATGAAGCAAGAGAAGAAAAACAAGCATCAGAACCGGAAAAAGAAGCAGAGGAAGAAGAAGAGACGCCACTTCTGGGGTTACGGCCTCACTCACTCACTTAATCACTCATCTTTGTTACACTTCCATATACGTGGCATCCGTGGTTTTCTCCTTTACAATTGTCGACTCATATTCCTTGAGTCCTCCATCACAAGTGCTTCATATTGTTCTTATTCATCGTTGATTCTTAGTAGAGGTGAAACCTTACAATCTGCTTTGTTAAATGCTTACTCTTACTCAGCGTTGATTCATAATAAAGCTCCGTGTAAGTGTAAGACGAAGCAGAAGCTTTATGTATCATATGGCCCTCAGTTTATGTGAGTGACAAGAAAATTGAAAGGCCTTTTCCCTGGCAGTCATTTCAGGAAGAAAGGCGGCATGGCATGCCGCGTAACTGACTCTTAGTTTCATCAGTTTCATCTTCTTACTCATCTTGATCTTCTTTACTCATCGTAAGAGGAACAAGCATTCATTTTTCTAATCTCAGAGGTGGAACTACCCGTATTGGATCCAGACGTTGTAGACAGCTTCCTCATCGATTGCCAGCCTCTATCAATCGGCTTCGGAACCGGTGAGAGTAGGGAGTTCTCTTACATTTAATAGAGCAGGTAGAACTGGTGATGGTTCGGGGAGTACGAGTAAGGAGCTCTCTTACATTCGAGCTGGTGAGTAGGGAGTGGGGAGTTCTCTTACACTTACTAGGGGGAGAACTGGTGGGGAACTCGAACTGGTGGTGGCTGGAGGGGTAGGGGGTTCTCCTACAGTTAGAGGGAGACGGAGAGGTCGTAGTCGTGGAGAATTTTCATGTATTGACAGCGAAAACAAGTCGTATCGCGTCGTATTGAAGACTACTAGATCCAGATTATTACAGGCGAGAAACTTTTTCATCAGCACCTACTTCAGTACAATCACGATAACGCCCGACGAGGACTAAACGATAACCATTCATTCATTCATTTACCTGTTCTGGAGGTATCGCGGAAAATAGGGTAGCTGTATAGACATATTTGATATATTTTTGTTCGGGATAGTTAATATCAAAATTTTGCTCCTTCATTATCATCATTGTTATTTAACTCAATTTCACGAGTCGAAATTTTCATTATTAAAGAGATAGATCGGGATGACGATGAGTGGCCAGATCATTCGTCACCATCTAAAAAAGCCAATGTCTTGTATCTTCATGTGAGTCATTTACAAGAACTAGAACTGGAGGAAAGTAGAGTTGGATCCATGCGCCACTCGGACTCGCTGAGGGAGAGGAGCATCCACTTCCACTCGCTCTATTTTGATTATGAATCTTAATCTTTGTGATAGAAGAATAAGATGAAGATGTTATGAGCAAACAGAATCGATAGAATTAGAATCTTCAAAAATTGAAGTACAAATGTGTGTTTGTTTGTTCGACGAAGGTGACTCATCAACACATTGGGTCTTACTCTTAGGAAAGAAAAATGTGACAATCGTGAGGTGGACTACAAGAAAGTCAAGGGACTTCCAAGAAACGCTGCACCCCCAAGGACTACGGATAGAAGGGCCTCCTCCCTGCGTACGGAAGTCTACTCTAGAAGTAGCTATAGCTATTTTTGGAAGAAAAGATGGTCCAGAAACCCAAAGGATGACACAACTCAACTTGTGAAGTCATTTCAGGTCGTTGATTGTTCTAGTATCAGATAAGTACTTTCTTCAATTGATCAGATTGTGTTGTACTATCAATAAAGAAACAAACATCGAGAAATTCACTTGAGGTTGTGTTGTACTATCGATAAAGAAACAAACAAGTGCAACTACTTACAACTAGACCTAATCATTAGGCACGAAGAGGCTGATGAACCGGAGAGGACCTGAGATGGAGGATGTTCGTTGGTCTTTTTGGCCGAAGACTCTGAAACGAAATGGTGAGTGAGAGAGTGATGTGAGAGTGAGGAAGTGACTAAGTACGTGAATAGAGAGGGGGATTGTGTATTGATTATTGTTTATTATTTATTCTCACGGAGTAGTGTCTGACTCTGAGAGATGAATAGAGTTGAATCTGGAGACCTGAGATGGAGCGCTGCACCTACTCGCTTGACGGTACGGGCTTAACCTGTGGAGGGAGGTTAGCCATGTCCTTTCCATTAGACGAGGTGAGCCATATCCTATCCATTAGACCTCGTCGTGCAAGTCTTCATTTAGAGTAGAACAGGACGAGGTCTAATGGACTAGTAAACAGGGCTAGTTGTTGTAGTGCTAGATGTTGCTTATGTTGCACCTTCTTCCTCTTCATCCAGTGTTGATCTATGGTTCTTGCCGGCTACCGTTACAGCTCTGAGCTCTATTCTGAGCACTACTCTGAAGACTTGTTGAGTGATCACAACTCTGAAGCTGAACTATACTCTTCAACCAAGACATATATCTTAGGCTTTTGAAAAATTCTCTAGCTAGCTGTCTTAGGCTTTCGAATTCTCTAGAGAAACTGTGAACAACATGACAGCATTCTAGAGGACATGTTGAACAACTACTTCTACTACAACTACAAACAAATAAGTCGTGGAGGACATCAGAGAAGCGGGCCGTGCTGCGCCTACGAGGACGCCCTAAATAAACCTCTGCAGGATCTTCAGAGAGCTCTTCTGTAGAAACGTTAAGGCTACCGCTCAAGCAACTACATCCAGACCTGCGACACGTGGATTAATCTATACAATGTAGTTCTTCCTTCCCAGTAGATACAAAGTACTAGGGATTGGCAGATATTAGGAAAGATGCGGATGTTGCTATTTTTCGCGCGCTAGTTCTAATAGTGGCAGGTCCAATGGCCGAGCAGATCTAGTGGCGTCGAGAGTGGTCCTAGCGGCGCCTGGAAGTTCCAAGACGAGATGGCGCTTAGTAGCTTAGCAGAGGACTAGTTCCCGTACTTTAAACACTAGTCCCTGTATATACTCGTCTGCGTAGGCGTACAACTACCCGACAACACAGAGACGCCAAGAGTTTACCTCTAATGTAAGTAGTTGTGCGTATGGCAACATACGTGCAACTTTTTACTACTTTTATGCATGTTGGTCCTGGACTTCTTCTTAGTGGAACAAGGTTCTTTTTCCTTTGCGATGTGATCTCTTCAACCAGGTGTACTATCACGACAATGCCTGTTTTTGATAGACTTTTACTACTTTGGAATCGTGTCAATCTGAATGTCATCAACCTGCTTTAATTCAGAAATTGCAGCCTCCTTCTTCTTCTTGTAGTTCCTTCCCCTATATTGATATCAACCTTTCTTGACCATTTGCATCAGCCTTTCTTCTTTTGTAATTTAAGTAGTTTCAAGTTGAGCTTTTTCTTCAGGTGATGAACGAGCCACTACTTTCTTTTTCGGTTCTTGCAAGGCTGCAGAAAAAGATGACGCAGAAAAGGAGACGTCGTGGAGATATGGAGATAGAGGATTTTGAAATTTTTTCTCAGCTATTTTCTATTTTTTACACTCCAACTGCAACTCTTGTAACTGTATATATCAAGCAGATATGTATTGGTAGTTTTCTTAGTTTATAGTCCATCAACTAAGAAGACTACTAATACTTCTATCGAAGCTTCATTGGGATTACATATTTTGAATGCAACATAGTTGGAGCGAGGAGGACCGTTTCATCCCCAAGGAGGATCATGGTCGCTGAACAAGAGCAAGTCCTTTTGACTTTTTTGTGGTAGAATGGGAAACAAAACTCTACACAACAACCAAGTTGAATCTATACCCTCCACATTCGTAAATTCCACCTTTCATACATCATCAAAAGAGTAAATCAGCTTTTTATACTTACACCATCCTCCACCCTCCACCTCCCTATTCAACTTACTTACAAAAGTTACACCTTGTCGTCCCGCCTAACCCTATTTTTCGAGCACCTTTCTTCATACATTATCAAAAGATGAGAGTTAAGTTGTGCTGGGGCTTTTGCCTCCACTTGGCGGCCTTTTCGGACCTTCTGTTGGCGATCGTACCTGATAAAGATCGGGTAGCGAGCCGCGACATTGAGAGAAATTCGGATCTGCCGGACATCACTGTTAAGGGCTTCTCCCAAATTGGCACTCTAGATCACGTAAGATGTGCCCCTGGATTGGGTTTAGCACTTCTTCTACAACTACTCTTTCTTCTTCTTCTTCTTCTTCTTTTTTTGTGTTTTTCCTAGTTGGGCTTGCTCCACCACTAGTATAATAGAACATTTCGTAAGAAGGATGTTGGATGGCATGGCATGGCATGCATTGCATTGCATGAGCCGAGGGGGTCAGGGTGCGACCTTCTTAAGGGAGCGACACGGGGGCGAAGACTCATCTTCAGCCGCCCCCTTCTCAGTGCGGCTGGAGCATGCAGAGCGCCTGGCGCCTGTCCGCGCTTGTTGTCGGGGTACTTGAATAGTGCTGGCGCGTGCTAGTTATTGCAAGTAGCTCGACGAGGCTAGCTTGCCTGGGATCTCGACCGTCTTGCTCACTGTTCTCTTGCGTACACAGGCCACGGCGTTTGCGCTGCTCCTTGCTTGTGTCTGGGGCGGGGTCACAGTGGGGCTGTGTTCGTGTATCGTAGAGTAATTCTTCGGCGCAGCAGCCTGGTACTGCGGGCGAAGTATGGCGCCCGAAGGGCGCCGCGAAAAATTTATTGTTTTTGGGGTGGTCCATCCATGCCATGCATGCCATCCATGCAGCAACGCAATCCAGAAGTTCAGCAGTTGCCTTGTATTCTAGTATAAGTATCCCTCATGATCTCTTCAAGATGTTCTATATGTACTATATGTCCATGATCTCTAGAATTATTGTTGAGAATCGCAAGCGAACACCAATAAAAACAAAATAAGAACTAGAACCGGAAAAAAGGAGAAATTCGGTCTACTCTAAGATTCTGACTCTATACACTATCTATTGTCCTGCTACTCAATCCATCTGCTTCCCTTCTGCAGGAAGTATCTATATCTATTGTTCTGCTACTAAATCTCAATCCATCTTCTCTTCTATTGCAGGAAGTATCTATATCTATTGTTCTGCTACTCAATCTCAATCCATCTTCTCTTCTATTGCATGAAGGATCCCTCAATATAAGCTGCATGGTACGGATATATTAGGGAAAGCTCTAACACGAATGGGAGCAAGAGCAGCAGATGCGGAGGAGCTAGAGTCAATGGTAGTAGTCTAGCTCGAGCCATGATCTGATGTTTCTGAAAAGAGAAACAGGATTTTCTATTTCATTATTGGAGAAATTGGGACCCCTCGAACTATAATAGTAATTAGTGCTTAGGTCGTGAAGGTGCACACGATTCGTATAGAGTTCGAGTTTCCCTCTCTGTGTTTCTAGTAGAACTCATGTGAATGAAAAGTGGATCGTGGTGGAAAATTCAAAAATAAAATCGAGTGCAAGGGCTGAAGAGCAAAAATATTAGATGAAAAAGTATTCTTTATTCTTCCGCATTCTAATTATATTTTTATCGACAAGACTTCAACATTCGCCACATTCCTTCAACGACCCCTCAGGAGTGAATAATGACGACGCAGGAGATGGCTCGTGCTTCCTGGGTCAGGGCGTCCATAGTAACGATGGTAATCCGGGAGAGGACCCTCCATTAGGATGAGGATTATACTGATTTGAGTATATTATAGATACCGAAGGTTAGGTTGGCTCCACCACTATATTACAAGTCGCCGGCCATGTCGTTAGGCCTTTGAAACAAGCACGCCCGGCACGTTTGTGGGCGGGCAAACCCGTACGCGGGTGGAACTGAGTGGGGCTGTGGGTAGAAAAGCCCACCTGTGGGTGTGGTGGTGTGTGGGTGTGGTGGTGTGTGGGTGTGGTGGTGTCTGGGTGTGGTGGTGTGTGGCTGTCGCTGGGGCGGGGGCGGTGGCTGTGGCCGTGGCTGCCGTTTGGACAGCGTTTGGGCCCGGCTTTGGAGAGGGTTTGTTTTACGCGGGGCTTTTGGGCAAAGTTTGGGCTGGTGCCGTGGCCGAGGCTGGTGCCGTGGCTGAGGCTGGTGCCGTGGCCGAGGCTGGTGCTGTGGCTGAGGTAGGTTGGTGCCGTGGCTGAGGCTGGTGCTGTGGCTGAGGCTGGTGCCGTGGCTGAGGCTGGTGCTGTGGCCGAGGTTGGTGCCGTGGCCGAGGTTGGTGCCGTGGCCGAGGCTGGTGCGTGCCGACGTGGCCGAGGCTGGTGCTGTGGCTGGTGCTGTGGCCGTGGCTGGTGCTGTGGCCGTGGCTGGTGCTGTGGCCGTGGCTGGTGCTGTGGCCGTGGCTGGTGCTGTGGCCGTGGCTGGTGCTGTGGCCGTGGCTGGTGCTGTGGCCGTGGCTGGTGCTGTGGCCGTGGCTGGTGCTGTGGCCGTGGCTGGTGCTGTGGCCGTGGCTGGTGCTGTGGCCGTGGCTGGTGCTGTGGCCGTGGCTGGTGCTGTGGCCGTGGCTGGTGCGTGGCCGTGGCTGGTGCCGTGGCTGGTGCTGTGGCTGGTGCTGTGGCTGGTGCTGTGGCTGGTGCTGTGGCCGTGGCTGCTTGGTGCCGTGGCCGTGGCTGCTTGGTGCTGTGGCTGCCGTTTGGGCAGCGTTTGGGTCCGGCTTTGGAGAGGGTTTTTTTTTAAGCTGAGCTTTTGGGCAAAGTTTGGGACTTGGGAAAGGTTTGGGCATTTGGAAAAAGTTTGGGGTTTGGCGAAAAGTTCGGGCTTTTGGAAAAAGTTTGGGGCTTTGCAAAAGTTTGGGCTTTGGCAAAAAGTTTGAGGCTTTGCAAAAGTTTGGGCTTTGGCAAAAAATTTGGGATTTTGCAAAAGTTTGGGCTTTGGCAAAAAGTTTGGCTTTTGGCAAAAATTTTGGCCTTTGGCAA